TTATGTCTGTTCTTAACATAGCAGCTGTTAATGAGTTCATTGTTGCTTTGTGATTAGGGGAACTCTAATTCATTTTCTGTCTGTTTTGATAGTTCAGGAGTCTCAAAGACAATCAATGCTCGTCTTTCCAGTTGCTCAGTAGAAGTACTTGGTCTTAGAAATAGGTAGGAATGTAACATTTAGAGTTAGGGTAGTACAGTTAGGTTGTGGTTGGACTGGATGATCTTTAAGGTCTCTTCCAACCTGAGTGATTCTATGATTCTACAACAGTATTCAGTAGCATATTTCTTTAGGAGGTGTACTTTCCCCCATAAGCAGTGCTTGTGCCACATAGCACTGTACTATGGCTGTACGGATACTAGAGTCTTTGTGGGCATTTTGCCCTGAAGTGACAAACTATGTGGAAAAACACAGCTCTAAAATCCTTGAGCACTGTTGATTTATCCAGTACTGCTTTAATCTGCTATGAAGAGGACAGAAGGGTAGTTTACAAAGAAAAAAAAAAGTATTTTCTTCAGTCCTTAGGAGAAATAATTCAACTATATATAGGTTTGCATGCAAACCTATGAGATGAAACACTTCAGAGTCCAGTTACATGACCAAAAAAGGTTTGTTCAGGCTGGCTTGGGGTAGAAAAGAGTTTTAATGGAATGGCAGGACATGCCTTCTGAAAGAAGATTTACAACTCAAGCAAGTTTAGGCCGAGTGAAAAGAATGCTGAGAAGATTGCTCCATAGAGGAATGGTAAGTCAAGGGATATCTGTGCTGAGGAAGTAGCCTCTGACTGCAGCACACTTTGCAATGTCCTTTCAAATGTTAGTATATTTCATCATACAGCCTTGCAGTTATCTTTGTCTGAAGGCTGTCTCTGCTATATTTTGAGCCTCTCCCTTTCATTTTTAGCTTTTGAAAGAATAAACAGTTCATCTGAATTTACTCACATCTGCAAGAAAGAATAGCTTAAGTAACATGATCTGTTAATGTTTTGGCCTTTTGCACAGGTTCAGTTTCTTTGACAAATCCCTTTGAGCTGCTTGTAGCTGTTGAGTAAATGCAATAACTACTTAAATGAGCTGAAAGATACAAGATGTCATTGTATTTGTGATAAATATGTCCATGTAAGTTGTAACAAGCCTGCTTGTGAACAGTAAAGAAGTTACTGTTTGAGAGAGCTGGGCTTGTTCAGTATTACTCCTGTTCAGCATTTCTCATTCAAACAAGTTTGGACGGGAACTGGGAAAAAATATATACATTTTGGAATTCTTCTTTCTATGAAAAGATCCCACTGAGTTAATAGGACACAACATACTTTCACAGGAAGTCTGGATTTTCCAGGTGCTGCAGAAGATTAGCTTCAAACAAGGAAACTGTTGAAAGTCCAGAAAGCTTTCTGCCATACAAGCAGCTCAACAAAGTTCTCTATCAGAAAGCATTTATGTCACAGAAACCATTCAAATCAGAAGAGATGAAGTTCCTTTGACTTTAGATATACATTACTGTTAATGCAACTCTGAATTCATTACAGTGAAACTTTGTCTATTTGCTATGATTAATGTATTCCTTTCATTTTTACTTTTATGTGATTTAATCTTAGAGTACTCACATCTTGTTATTTGCGCATATTTTAAAAACAAACATTTTTACAAGAAGCTTACCAATACTGCTTATAACTATGGTTTATTTAGTGATGGATTTTAGAGACTTTTTTTTTTTTTCTCTTAGCAATTATTTTATATCATCTTAGTAATATTATCAAGTCCACCATGTTCAATGTGAAAAATGTTTATTTTCCAATTAATGAGGTGCTGTTTCAAAGTTTACGTTCTTTGCTCTAATGCTTGCAAATATCATTCATTTAAATGCAACTGTTTTTAACAGTAGTAGTAAGGATAATATTATTTCTGTGGTGCTCTTGATCTTTTGTTTGTTTGTTTTGCATGGTTTGCTGACTCTTGTGATCTTTTTACAAACTATTTATGAATCCTGACTTAGACTTGAAAATGTAAGGAGCACTTTAATTTACTTGTGACCTGACAAAAAATGTTTTTAGGTCATGCCACGATCCTTCCTTCTTTTGAAGGTCAACTCAGATAAGATTCCTTCTGACGTTTTGAAGATAATTATTAGGAAATTAGCCACTATATAGAGCTACAAATACCAGAAATACAAGGACAAATTCTTATGTAGTTTTTCATTATGTGAAAGGGCAATGTGAAGGGGGTGAAGGATAAGTATAGCAAGACTGTGATGGCTGGGAGGAGAGAACTCTATTTCTGCTTTCAATAGGATGTGCTTATGAGGGCATTTCCTCTCTCTTGAGATGTTTTGGAGCCAGTTATTGCCTAGGCACATCCCTTCTGTTCTGAACTGAAGGAGACAGTCCTGGATATTCAGTACCAGCCTGGATACTTTCCTGTGCAACCTGCTGAAGGGAGAGTGCATTAGCAAGGGAAGCTTGTACTAGATGATCCCTGAAGTCCCATCCAACCCCTCTTTGGAGAGGCAACCAGGGAGAGGAATAGGGAATAATTTATGGGTGGGGGAAGGAGAGTATGAGTGGTAAGTAATAATGTGTTTAGGAGTAACAAAACATCTTACTGTGCTTATGAGCGTAAGTGAATACAAACCCCAGGACATATGTTCTTTTTCGAAACAAGGTTTTTGTAGTAAGTGTGGTTGTTGACTTGGGCTACTTTGATCTGCCAGGAATATTGCCTTGTCAGAATCAGCAGGCTGTCCAGGCCTCATACTTGCAGGATTTGTAGGCTTTGAAAATAAAGGCACTCCTATAACTGTGGGAAGCACCTTAGTTTGACAGTTCTATCTTCATAAAATGTTAAACAACATAAATTGCTTATTTGGGTTATTCATTCAAAAAATTGAGCTCTGGCTAAATCAGACCATTTCATTCTAATGTATGTTGGCTAACAGTAAAAGCCAGTGCCTTGTGGTCAGGCACAGCCGGTCCAAGAACAAAACAACTCGGAAACAATTTATTTTTTCCTTATAACCTTTTTTAGTGCTGTGGCCCTTTCAAAGTAAATGTGTGAACTGACTTAGCAAGTGTCAACTCAGGGCCCCTGCGGTGAATTGATGGGGAAGAATTCGAAAGGGGGATAATTGCTGTATGGAAGCATAAGACTTTTTGAGAACAAATCTCAGAATCATCAAGGCAGAACTTCATGGCTTTAACCCTAATTTAGCTGTGAAGTAGGATACTACTAAATTCATTATATCTCCAGTAAGACATTGTGAGCTCTATCTTCTGATCTTATTTACCAAGGCATAATCAAAGCTGAAAATATTATGCTCTTACTAAAAGCAAATGGAATTAGTCTGGGCATCCTTGTTAGTCTGGGAATCCTTGTCAGCAAAACTGTTACCGTAGTAGGAAAAATAAACTTATTGATGCAACAGTGTCACTTGATGGCAGTGGCTGTGTTGTCATTGTGGAATTGTAGAAATGTAACATTGTAAAGAAAAGTGCCTGTAAATGCTCTCATCTGTGTTCAGGCATTTAGATTACAGGCAGCATAATTTGTTTTTCTTTCATGCGGAAGCTTTAGTCTTCCATAAAAGGGTGTGTTTATATGTGTGTATCTACTTGTCATGTCTTATTTTAAAGTATTACCATTCTTCAGATCCTGCTGTTTGTAATGACATTTTCCTCTGAGTTTTCTGAGATGAGAAAATGATGAGGGAAGGCCTTTAGCATATCACTTATTGCTGACTCTTCTTCTCAGTGTGCATTTCTGAAACAGTGCTATGTGCTATGAAAGAACAGTACACTGTGACAGTTCTGCTTTTGTAAGAAAAAAAGAGCACTTTTGACACATGGAGCGGACCCTTCATTTGTTAGTTTTGTGCAGATCAAGTCTTGTGAAAGAGGTAAGTGAGGCAAAATACAATCCAGCATCCTCACGCAACAGTGAACAACAAATACTCTGTTATCATGCAGGATGTTTATCTCCTCTCCCAACCTGCCAATCAAAGTCATCAGATCTAAGTACTAAAATGAAATGCATTTTTCCAAAATGAGACTTTACATTTGGAAAGGAAACCAGAGCTGCAAATGTCATGAGCACTGTAATATCCGTGGCAAGATTTCAGTTTCTCTCTCCTCATTACTGAAATTCCAGCACTCTTAACTGTTGAGATGTATAATCATAAAATCATAGAATGGCTTAGGTTGGAAGGGACCTTAAGACCACCTATTGCCAACCCCCTTGCCATGAGCAGTGTTGTCATCCACTAGATAGGCTGCCTAGAGCACCCCTCCAACCTGGCTTTAAATGCTTCCAGGGATGGGGCGTAAGGGCAGCCTTTTCCAGGGCCTGACCACACTCTGAGTAAAACTTTTCTTCCTATGATGTGAGCTAAATCTCCTCTCTTTTAGTTTAAAGCCATTGTCCCCTGTCCTTTCACTATCAGATCATGTAAAAAGTCTGTCCCCCTCCTGTAAGTCCCTTCAAGTACTGGAATGCCACAGTTAGGTCTCCCTGAAACCTTCTCTTCTCCAGGCTAAACTAGCACAACTCCCTCAATTGTCGTAAGAGAGGTGCTCTGATACTCTTCATGGTCCTTCTCTGTACGCGCTCCAACAGCTCCATATCTTTCTTCTGCTGGGGCTTACAATGGTAGAGTAGAGGGGAACAATTACTTTTCCTCACTCTGCTTGAGTGCTACACCATGGCTATATGTGGCTATATGGATAGCCAATTTCTTCAGCTGGTCTGTTCTTCTCTTTATGCCTGGGTCTCCAATCAAGAACAAGGAGAACACTACCGGTGCTTCTGAACACTTCAACATCTTTCTAATGAATATAAAGTCCTGATATAATACTGACAAGTTAATAGATGCAGACTTTTCAGGACCTTAGTGTAAAAGATGTAATAATTTTGTTTTTCATTTTGTTCAATAATGACAATATGGTGAAGTGATATTTGGCGTTGGTATGAATCCTGCCATACACATTGCTTTTTGTTTTTTTCCCCATGCAGTTCTGATGTAGAAAATGGAACAAGTGAAAGAAGAAAGCCAGGAAAATCACCTGCTGTTTTGCTGCAGACTCCTACCAGTGAAGTGGAACATTTTGATGATGGGAAGAAAGTTGATTTTGCTAGGTAATGGTAAGGAATATTGTCAGGTTTCTGCTAATGAAAAAATCAGAATGGGAAGCTGAGCTGAAAAATGAGATTTTTTCAGATATCCCATTTGTGGGTTAGCTTGCACCCTAAGCAGGTAAGCAGGGAGCAGAGCCTACATCTGAGGCTGCCATGACAGCAGCAGTCCAAAGAGTATTAGTATGAACTCTTGGGTTGGCTTAGCTTTTCTCTTCTAGGGAAGAATGCACTGCACTGTAACCACTGCTGGTTACATCCTGTTCACAGCCGGGTTGATGCAGTAAAACTGAGCTGCAGTTTGAGTCCTGGGTTATTCGTAGAATACTTTCTTGCTAGTATTCATTATCTACAGTAAAGCTATAACAAAAAATGTTCTTGGGCTCTGCACTTTATATTGTATCAGATGACTGCAGTGTCTCTTAAAGAAACTGGAGTAATAATTAAAAACAAAAAAAAAAAACAACTTCTGAAGGGCAGATTTTGCATTCCTTTCACTTTCAACTGGGCAGCTAATGCAGAAGTCAGTGGTCAACCTGACAGTGGTTTTGTTCACAGGGCAGGTAGTTACAAAGCAGCACTTAGATTTTTGAAGCATCTTTGAGAGATATACGTGATAACTTTTTCTGTAAAACTTCTTTCCAGTTTAATTCCTCTCATACAGTTTGACTCTATGCTATAGGACTCTAAGCTAGCTATTCAGTCTAACTGGTACATTGCACAGAAACATGAATATGCCTACAGGTGTATATTGGAGGCTTCTTCTGTGAGGTAAACACAGCCAGTCCCCCTGCTGTATAATCTCTTTCCTAAATGTATTTACACCCCTAAATTAAGGTTCCTCTCACTCTTAGCCCTGAAATAAGCAGAATTATTTTCCTAGTCATCCTCAGAGATATACTCTTTCTACTTCAGAGTTGTTTGGCTTTTTTATGTTGTTGTTGCTTTTTTCTTTCAGCATGAATTGCTAAGAGTGTACAGTTACAACAGCTTCCTATAAAGCAAGCATTTGTAGTTCTTTTTCATTTATTGGAAATTTCGTTTCCAGAACTGCTGGCTGTCTCATTGATTTCCATACACTATGGTGTTTGTAGCCATTCTCTGACTTGTACATCCTTGTTTTCTCTCTGTTGCACTTTCCAAATAACCTCCCTTCTTCTTGTAGTATAAGTTCATAGCTTCAATTGCACTAGCTTGAACTCTGCTACTAAGTTTTGACTGATTTTTATTACATTACTAAGTGAATTGCTTAATGTTTCTTATGTTGCCTGGAAACAAACAAACATGGAGCTAGGCACAATGATAATCCATTAAACCTATAAAAATGCTTTGAACTTACAACTAGTGGTCTAAAATATTCCTTCTAAGTTAAAAATAGACTATTAGGGAGGACTGACCTAATTCAAGATTCAGACAGACTTCTATACATTGCTGTGTAATACTTCAAAAATCAGGTAGTAGCTGTTGAAAGACTAATGTGTTTCACAGAAAAAAATATCCTGTTGATAACTTAAAAGGCAAATTAAATGAGATCAACAATCTTACATGGCCTTTTTTTTTTTTTAATTATTATTATTATTTTCAGGACAAAGAGCAGTACAGAAAGTCCACTCCTGACAATGGAAAGCAAGAATGATTCCAAAATTGAAAGGAAAAAACATATCTCAAATCAGGTAGGAAGAAGATGGACTTTTTTTGTTGATGACTGGTAAGAGCAAATACAGAACTGGAAGAGCACCCTTGTTTACTAGTATTCTATTTCCTGGTTGTATAAGGATGTAGGTTCCTTTTTTCATCTTAGATCAGAACAAGAAGTTAATAGGCATATAGCAAAAATGACGATTTACTGTAAAACAGATGGGCAAAAGGAGAAGAAAATAGGAATATAGGAAGTGATATGAGTCACTTAATTGTAAGAATATCTAATAAGGCATGTGTCTTTGGTGGTGGGCCTTTTTGTTTTTTAGCTGAAGGCAAATGCACACTTTCATAAGCTGTTTCTGGATGTTTCCATTGATGAGCCACTAAAACAAAGTGAGTATTAAGACCCTTGATATTGCTGGCTGTGGATCAAAATACTGTTAATATCTGCCAACTCTGGTGGCATACAGAAAGCACTACCCAAATTTTAAAAAAGTTTAACTCCAGCTGCCTGGAGCTGCAAGGCCTTCATTTGCATGCAGGGGTGTTTTGTTACAGTCTTGTAAAATGTACATTTCTTTATTCTTCATGTGTTTAGCATCTTTTGGTGTTGTAGCTCACTTTATACTTCTTAACAGAGTAACTTACAGCAATGTTTTGAAAACTAGTCTAAAGCTTTGTAGGAATCTAGGTGGTACTCTGTCAAAAAAGTGTCTTGGCTTCTGGGACCCTGTTGCAAATTACACATTTCAGTCTTTATTCTTCGTATATTTTTAATTAAAGTAAAGCTTGTGAAATCTTCTGAGCTTCTCTGTACTTGTAAAATTTTTTCAGTATATCAGGGTTTAGAGTGACTGAATTGTTTAAACTGGGAGAGACCTTTAAAGGTTACCTAGTTCACATCCCCTGCAATGATCAGGGATGGTTTGACAATGTTAGTCAAAAGGTATATACCCAAACAGGTAATGGCTAAAAAGAAAAAAAGAAAAAAGGAAAAAAAAAATGCCAGTGTGTGTTGTGTGTACACTAAAAGTTACAGAACATCATTATATTTTAGGTTTTACCTGTGCTCTCCAGAAAGAAATTCTTTATCAAGGAAAGCTGTTCCTTTCTGAAAATTGGATTTGTTTCCATTCCAAGGTTTTTGGTAAAGACACTAAGGTTAGTAAAATCATTTGTACTAAATAGTAGTACAGTTCCTTAGAAATCTAGTCATCACTTGAAATTTGCTTTATTATGCAAGGCTAGAAAACTTCCAATACCTCCAAATGTTATTGAATAGAATGACTGTACCCAAAAGTCTCTCTACAACAGGAGTACTATTACTATTAAAGAACCAGTCTTTAATATTTAAGAAAACAACTTGACATGGAATTACAAAGGCTGCCAAACTCACACAGCAGTAATTGTAAAAAAGTGGATCTCTCGGGTTAACTTTGGAAAAGAGGAGGAGAAAGTAGGTTGAAAAGTATAAGGGCTAGTTGGGGAAATGGTGGGAAGGATCAAGCACACTCATTAACAGTCAGTTAAATTAAAAAAAAAAAAAAAAAAAAAAAAAAAAAACCTAAAATTGGCTTCGGAGTGAACTTGCAAAGGCCTAAGGGGATTCTTCTATCATTTCCTTGTATTCTACATGAACAGAGAAAGTCTATTAGGTTTTCACTTGTGAGCCTAGTGTGAAGAACAGAGATAGGATATGAACAGCTGGGATGATTCTAATGACTCTTTTCTCAGAATGGATATGACCTGCATAATGTTTTATCCCCCTTTGATGAACATTATGCATATAGATAAAATTACACTGCACCCAAAAATATGCATGTTCTGTTTTTGTTGATTTGGAAGTTATGGGGTCTTTTTCTTTCTCAAAATAAATTCTTCTCTATTTTTGATCTTTTATTGGGAAAAAGCATGATTTGCAGTAAGGATATGTTTGGTTTCTTTCTTTCACAAGTATTTCATTGAACTAATTGCTTTTTAGATCAAGACCCCTTCTCAGTGAATTAGCTGCTGAAAACAGTGTAGGGAGTTCACAATATATTATTTCTGTTCTGTCAGCTGTTGTGATGGAACACAATATATCTTTGACATGGACTTTAAGAAGGTAGAATATGTTTCTTAAGAATGATTAAAATTAATGACACATTACTGAGACTCGCTCTATAACTTAATACATATTATTGCTTGGGCCAAAAAACTGGACTATTATTTCCTAGTTGATGCATTATATTAATTAAGTGTAAGTAATATGTTAATCTACATGGTGTTGGTGTGTATGTCACTGAAAGACAGACAAAGAAATCAAAATTAATGAAGGATTGGATGCCATCACTGAATTTCTTAGCATCTATCTTGTCAGGTAGCTTCATTAAAATTGAAATTGCTGTGTCTGTGTCCTGTACAGCACAAATGAATGTGCCTGGGCCTTCTCCAAACTGTGGGGCAGCTTTCTAAAATTCAAGCTTAGCAAGATACACGTGATTAAAATCTAATAAAAACCTATCAAGTTGAAGAGAAAGACATGGAATAAAAGCTGCTAAATGATAATAATCATATAGTACTGGAAAATGATGTTAGTAAGATGAGTGTGAGCATATGTATATTTTCATATAAATGTTGCAAAGGGAAACAGAAGAAAAAGTAGATAAGTTTTCAGAATGTGTCTGTAGTGATATTACAAGTGCAATCAGTCCTGGGTCCTTGTTTTAGAAAACACTGAGAGGGGAGAAAAATGAAAATGAAAAGGGAGAGGCCTGGTCATGTACTTCCAGTTGTCTTCCCTGCCTCCACAACACAAACACTTCATTAAGTCACATACAGCAGGCATGGATTTTTAGGCATATCATCAATGAAACAACAGGGACATTGGGCATATGATGAAGAATCTTGTAGTAGGAGAGGAGGAAATCTGGCTTGACAGGAAGAACCATTTTCATAGATGCCACATATGTTGACATATATTGAGTTCCCAAGATGCAAAACCTCTCTATTGCTTGAAACAGTTTAAACTTAGTCATAACCTGTCTGCTGAGAGAAGTAGCAGGTCTACATGTTCTATTAAATTTATCAGGACAAGTTCTTCTTCCTACAGATTTTTTTCTAATAAAATCTTTGGTGGGTGAAATAGTCATGCAAGTAAGGAGATTTGAATGTGCAATGTAAACACTCTGTGTTCAGAAATAAAAGAATCCTTCTGCAGGATTTAACAGGCTTTGGAAGACTTTGCTGTCTTTCCAGGTTGTTCTATTTTGGCTATATGTGTTGACCTCCAGTCTTTTCTGGAGTAAGTGTCATCCTAGTTGCTTTTCAAGATGCCTACATGTAAACTTGTTTCCTGAAATAATTATTACTCCAGATAGAAATAGAATACTTGCAGTGATTTTCCCATTTTAATCTAATGCTTAGGTAAGAGTGCAGCAAGCAAGCACTTAATCCCACTTAAGTATTCTTTAGTCTTGATTACAGTAATGTTATCCATCAAAATTGCATGCAGCAGAATGCCATTAACATCTCTTACTTAAAGTTCTTTGAGGTGGACTGAACCAATTAGAAAACTTCTAAGCTGCACTTTTTTAATCACTGCTATTTGCAGATTTTCTGCTGATAAATCTTTGGGAGTGGTAGGTTTCATTTATTTTGGTGGTCGTGGTGGTTGTTATGGTTGTTGTTGTTTTTTTTTCAGCAACACAAATTGTATTCTGACTACATGACCATTCTGTTTTGTTTTGTCTTGTCTTCCCGTCAAACAAGCATCATACCTGCTCCCTTCTTTCCACTCAAAAAACAGTCTTTTTTGAACAGAAGTGTTGCAAAATCTTTTTGGATCAAGAAAACATTCAGTTCAGGAAAAGTATAACGGAGGATCTATTTAATTAGCCTGTTTTCAAAAGACTTGGCTTCTGAAGCCGAGCAAATAGAATTAGTATGTTTAGATAGAATAAATAATTGATAGAAAATAGAATTAGATAGAATAATTGGTAGAAAAAAATTGTATCCAGACTTACAGATTCTTAGTCTCAGGCCTAGGCCTAAGCATAATACGTTATAGGCATTGGCTGTTGTGGTTGTACTTTTTTCTCTTTTTTTTTCCTACTTTTTCCTTCCTTTTTTTTTTTTTTTCTTCTTTCACATATTTTTAATAAAACTGAGTACTGAATGAATGAATGAATGACTTGCCAGCCTGCAGATGACAGAGGAATGGCTAGCCATGCTTAAATAGTGGCTGGTTATCTTGCATTCAGATGAAGCATGTTTCTTATTAGTGACAAAAAATGTATATATTTTTTTCATTTAATGGCTTAGTATTGCTTTGCACTTATTGCTCCAAACAAAAGTTAATGAAGGTTTATGAAATTGAGCAGAGAAACTTTGTTCTCCTGCATTAATGTGTTCTTAATTCTGTGCTCTGATCACTTAGCGCTCAATCTCTGGACACTTTTAGTTATGAATTTCTCAAGCTGTTGAGGCAGGTGTTCTTAACAGTAGCTGTAGCCTATCCATGTGTATCTTGGATTATTTTATTTGCCTAACTTCCTAGGCCCAAAGCTTTTCAACTGCAAGTCAAACCAGCTATTCAGTCCTTTGTAATAAAAGCTTTACAAAAAGAATGCATGCAGAACATTTTAACTGAAATACTCTGAAATATAGCACCACACATATTACTGAAGGGGGTTGGATAAAAACACTAAGCAGGAGGGAAATGTAAATGTAGGCAATTTGGGTGACACAAGGAATCAGTATAAATAAGTCAGAGGGCATGTGGTTATTGGATCTTTCAGTGATACTGGTAGACAGGCTGTTTATTCAGCTGTTAAGTGCAAATGGAAGGATTTATAAGTGGTGAAAAGAGTTATTTGTTTATTGTTCAATACCCTGTTGTCTCATTTGTTTTGTTCCTAAGCAAAATGCCTAGATTTAAGACTACTTTCTTCTGGAGATCTACAATGAACGAAGCTTCTAGTCTTCTGAGAGCATCTGATGAAAATAGAACTAAAAATAGTTAAAAAATAGTATTAATCTGAAACCACACCTGTTCCATCTGAATTGTTAGTAATCAAGGACAAAGAGGAGAAATCCTTACATGGACAGCACTGAAAGACTGGCTTATCACAGTTGGTAGGCTGGCTGCTTGTGGAGCAGCATGCAGATTTGTATGCACGTACTGGGACTAATACTGCAATGGTCTTGTTGTAGATCAGCATACCCGTGCTCTCAGTGACACTTCTGAAGAAAACCAAGACTGCCCTTCTTGTGCCAAATGCTCTGATCATAGCAACAGTCACAGACAGAGTAAGTACACAGAAGACAATGCTATTGTACCCTGCCTGTTTTCCTTTTCATTTTTTGACATCTTTTGTCCTCTCTACTTAATGGCACTCATATCATGAGAGATTCTTGAAGGTGCCAGGTGGTCATTTAAGCAGGTTGAGGAATTGGTCACATGTAATCATTTAGATTTAGGATCCCATAGGGTCTGGTTTCTTACCAGATAATTTGAGCTACTTCTGCCTCCTCAAGTGTCAGACAAGGGCTATGCAGAACTTGATGAGAAAATAAGAAATGGAACCTCTTGCTGTCAGCTGTTGCCTGTAAACTATCATTCCTCATTCTCCAAGACTTCTGTGTAGTGGCACTCATGGATCAGAAACAGATGGGTCAGGAAGCGCATGCAGGGAGAGTTATCTGCCTTGTTGGTAGCTCTTTACATTGTTCAGGCATTTTTTTCGGTCTCTCATCTGATCAGCAATCCCAGATGATGCAGCAAAATGCAGCAAAATGAAGTTTCTCCCTGCAATCTCGGTAGTAATTGCATCAATCAGTAGAAAATCTGATTATCTTAAGGGCAGCTTTAGAAAAAAAAAGTTTTCTCTGCAGAAATGTTTTTTTTTGGACATGGGCTTTTTTTTTTAAGAGTAGGGAATTATTTTTTTTTCCACTCAGAGGGTGGTGACACGCTGGAACAGGTTGCCCAAGGAGGTTGTGGATGCCCCATCCCTGGAGGCATTCAAGGCCAGGCTGGATGTGGCTCTGGGCAGCCTGGTCTGATGGTGGGCAACCCTGCACATAGCAGGGGGTTGGAATTGGATGATCATTGTGGTCCTTTTCAACCCAGGCCATTCTATGATTCTATGAAAACATAGCATGCAAAGTTTTTAAGACAAACAAACCAGGAAATTAGAATTATAGATCTGGACTGTGCTGTTTTCTGCAGTAGAACATGGCAAATTTTATGTGCCTGTTCTGTGTTCCCTGTGATTAACCTCAGTTCTTAATCTTGGAACTGAGTGGAGGTTTTCCTTGCTACATGGAGGTTCTTGAAAATAGGTGATTTTTCTGATTAGATAATTATCAGTTTTAATAAGATGAAAGGAAGTTTGTACTGTGTGTCTTTTCTCAAATGATTTTGGAACTTTTGTTTTTCAGTATATGTTTGTCTCCTTACTCTCCAGAGATACAACCTACAAGCTATTAAAATCCATATGTAGACATCTTGAGGTAAGTACTGATGGGAATGAAGAAATGCAGATTTATGTTTGTTATTACTGCTTTCCCACTTCTAAGTACTGGGCAATTGCTGGGAGTGTTTCTTGTTAAAGCTGCTGCTTTTTTTTTCAGGATACGAGTATGGGCAACAGTCCCAATCCATCTTCTGTTGAAAATAGCTTCAGGGCTGATCGTCCTACAACTCTATCCCTGGTAAACAGCTTCGATGTTTGTTCTTTAGTTGCACTGCTCTGTTCATTGCAAATCCTACTTGCAGTGTCTGAACGGAGGAGACCAAAGAAAATTATGACATCTGTTTGTAAAAATTCTATGAACGTTTTACCATTAAGAAGCAGTGATAGCATAGGTATAGTTTGATTAATTAGATTTATATTGTGTATGTCTTAAATATATTACAAGGTGTATATGCCCTACATATTTGTCTTGCTGTCAGATTTCACAGATAAGTTCTGTGTACTTACTTAACAGTTGCTGCTTCCTCTGACATTAACTATTTTCAGAGTGTTTCTTCTTACAATCCTTCCACTGTGAGCCAGTTCAGAAAGCTGAAAGAGCTGTGTCTCCACATGTGAAGACCAGATTCTGACTTTAGAAATGCCTGCCCTGGACTTGTTCATCTAGCAATCTTTCTTTATCTTTTAAGTTGAACTAAGGCAGGGAAGGATGCTTAAATTCTGGTGGTTTTAAGTGTCTGCTTATTTTGCTAACCAGATCTCAACATCTTGTGATATCGAAGATTACTTCTGTTCAGACATTTTTAAGTATGTAATTATTAGTTCAGTTTCTACATGGAAATCGGAGGAAATAAGGTTAATTAGACTTGCTATGACTGTTTCCCCATCAGGATTTCAATGAAGACTATTCTGATCTGGATGGAATAGTACAGGAGCAGAGACAAGAGATGGAGGAGTCCAGCAGCACAGGCTCACAGACCCCGGAGCTAGAACGCTTCCAAGGTGAGTGGGATCATGGAACTCCAAGAAATGGGAACAGATTAGTTCTAGGTTTTGTTTCTGTAATTCCTTCTGATGTAGAAGTGGATCTGTGTTCTCCACAGTCCTGAAGACTAGTTATGTACAGTCTCCCTCAAAGTTGCAAAAGCTGAAATTCCCTTGTTATATTGCACTTTGTAATCCAGAATTAAATAATGACTTTGTCACCATCAGGCTTGATTTATCACTACTGACTCCAATTGCATTCACCATCTATTTCATATACCCCTTATCAATTACGCTGTCACAGATATAGCTTAGCAAACATTCATGCTTCCTTTCTCTTCCTCTTTCTTTTTTTCTTTCTCCTTCCCTGACTCTTCCCCCTTTTTCATTTTTAGTTTTAAAAAAGCTATTGTAAAATAGCTCAAGTTATAAAGAAACGTCTTCTAATCAGTACAAATAAACATTATGTACTGTGGTGGATTTTAGTAATCAAAACTATTTCTTATGACTTTGTGTTTCTGTTTTATGAACCTTACTTCTTTTCTTTGTGTCATCAAGGCTCCTGAAGATATAATCCATTGTTCATTCTTAACACAACTGTAGTCTTATACACTTCAAGTTTTTCACCTTGTGCAAGAATGCTGTGTAGAAACACAGTGCACATAAGTTTATAAATATGGCAAAACTCATTTTATGTGGGGTATCTATGTAGGTTATTTAAAGAATTCTGGAGTGTTAGTCTGCCATAAAACTATTATATATTAACGTATTAATATGTTGTTGTTCCATTATTTTTCCAGTTCCATCTGAACACTGTGAATTTGAACTATTAGAAACATTTACCTTTACTTTGAAATGAAACATTACAGATACAGAATTTTTAGTATCAATTTTCAATAAGCCTAGTTTTAGTTAACTCTTCATTTTTCATATGTCTCTCTTGTTCACTATGGTTTGGGGTTGTTTAATTTGGTATTTACTATGTGTGTATTTTTAATTGTTTGGTGGTGTTTATGAAGCAACAATGAAATTGTGGTGTCATCACTTGTGGAATGAATGCTTCTGAATGATGATTTAACTCGCTGACTTGCTTTATTGAGGCTGATAACTACTTCAAACCTTTCAATTTTCTTTTTTATAAGTGGAAAAAAAAAACAAACAATAATCCTTTAAAGATTCGCAAGGATGCGCATGTAAAACATGAACAGAACTGAGTGTGGCTGGATTTTTCTATTCTATCTCACTCGATATCTCATTCAAGATGTAATCTGCATGTAAAAAAAAGTCAGGAAAGCGAGCTAGAATTTTCCTTTTCAAAGTAACAATGCTTGATCTCCATTTGATAGTGATATTAAAGGCATTAGGAGTCACAGAATTACAGAATGGCCTGGGTTGGAAGGAACCTCAAGAATCATGAAGCTCCAATCCCCCTGCCACAGGCAAGGCCACCAACTTCCCCATTTAGTACCAGACCACGCTGCCCAGGGCCCCATCATCTCTGTAGCATATTCAGTCCTTTTGAGAGATTGCTATTTTGTCTGTTTAATCTTCAGACCGGAAATTCAGTGATAATCTGTGAACTTGCATGGGTTGCCCTCTCTTAAATAATCTGGAAATGTAAATGTACCATACATTATCCCCTTTCAGTCCACATGCTTTTCTTCATTGTCATTATGTGCAATTATTACATGGATTATTTTAAGGCCTGTAAACTAACAGCTGCTTTCTATCTATGTTCAAAATGCATCTCTTAAAACCCTTCTGTTGCAATATTCCTTGACTCACTTAAGCTACAAATGGTTTCCTTTGACCTCACGTTTCAGTTTTATTAAAAATCTTGGTTTTGACAGATTATCGCGTTGTCGAGACACAGACGCACCTGAAAGTTTCAAAGACTGAAACAAAGTCTGTCCGTTCCGATGCACGCAGTAAATGGGTACCTGAAGGAAAAGCCAGAAATTGCCTTCGAAATGGTAGGAAATTAAGGGCAGATCCTCAGCTGAAGTTAGTTGAGTCCAACTCATGTAGTTATGTCAGTTCACATAATATGGAAGATTTCTTCCTGTTTATCTCTGTCTGTATTATCTGTTGCATGCTTCAAAACACCACTGTGTCTTTGGTGTTTCCTGATCAAAATAACGCGTGTTCTTTCCCTAGCAGGTCATTCTGAACCTTTCAGATTCTTCCACAAAGTTAAGTTCCAGAAGCTCTTATCTCTGAACCATATACTTATATTTTATGCAGTTCTGTAAGTAAACAATTAATATCAAAATTGTTGAGATACTCTGATTTTTTTTAATGTAGATTAATATTATCTCATCTTTGCTTGAAAAAGAGAAAATTGATGAGAATTTTGGCCTTTATATCTTTTCAGAACTAGAAATGCCAGGATAGACCTATTTAAACAGGCCTTTTACTTCTAAAAGCAAAGGATTTTTTGGTTCAGGAATTGTTGGAGAGTGTAACTACTTGCACTTAGCAGAGCCATACTTAAGGTTCAGACTTTCAAAACTATCTGAATGCCACCAGTACCTGTACAGCATGTACAAATAATTATTTAAATGTCTTTTAATGTTGCATTTGTGAGATATCTCTGACATCCCATGTCCATATAAACATAACTGATATATCTTACTTTTTTCTCTTACAGTGTCTGTATTTTAATATTTTCTACCTTCTACATGAGATATAAAATCAATGTCCTGGAAGAACGTCTTATCTCCATTGCATCTTTTGATTCACATGTTAAGGAGTAAGATGCACTCTATAGCTATTTCAATTAAAAACAAAATATACTTCTCCAGTATCTCATGCTAATCCAGTCTTTTCAGAAACTCCTGTGTTACTGTTGTGCCCTCATGAAACTTAATGTAGTTCTTTTGTCTGCACAAGCCTCATCTCACAGGTTTCCTTTCAAGACTTTTAATGCAAGCATATGGCATGGTGCAGTATTGCTTTCAGGATGTTTCAGATAACTGTAAATAATGGTAGTGTAAACTGCTGAAATGAGCTTCTTTCCAGATAATGATTCAGTGAAAAAAGCTATGACTTCAGTCTTAATGTCATTTGATTAACCCTGCGATGACAGAAGGTATTTTGTAATCTTCAGACTAATGCATCTGACTTACTTTTAGGGTGCTTTTAAGAGCTTTGAGCTGCCCAACTCCTCTTTAGGGACTGACATCATGGCTTGCAAAAATAAATACTAACAAAAAAAGAAATAGAAACTACAACTAGTTCTTCATGTCTTTGAAGACAACTGGCAAAAAATGCATCATAAGAAAAGGTGTCCATGACTGCTCTCAGCATGGAGTAGAAGGATAGAAAATAACTAAATCATATTTCCTGGTTGCACCTACAGAATGTTCAAACTATATAAAATTAGAAAACATGCCATTAGTTTGTGGCAAATCCAGGGAAGAAGCATTGTAGGACTGCAGATCTTTTATTATAAGTCTCCTAGCAATTATTTAGTAGTTTCATTCTATAACTGTGGAAGAGCTTAAATCATGGATATGATCTTCCCCTTCTTCTTTTTAATTCCTCTGTTGCGTGAACAGAAAATCTGCAAACTTCGAAGGGAGAGCAGGGATTTGTATTAGGGCAGTATGCAGCAGTACGTCATATGGGCATCCTCAGAGAACTTAGGACAGAAGTGAGTTCAGCTGGATACTGAAAATACAATGAGTTTATTTAGTACTAAATTTTGCATTAACTCTTCTCTCCCTCTCATGACTTAATTTTTCTGAGATTCTCTAAAAAACGTGATTTAGTCATTTCCAAACCTTACTGCAAAGTCTGCTGTGACATGGTGCAGTTAGCAATCCTGGCAACTAAAGAAGCACCACCTGAAAAACAGGAGAAAACAGAATTCAAGACAGCTGTACCCAGGTGGAATGGAGCTCACAAAGTGTTTCAGACTTAGACGTATTGTCATTCTGAACAATGATTGTGCTGCTTAGGATCCTCAGAACACAGCTGAAAGCTGAGTTGCATATATGACAAGGCTAGGTTCTTAAGAGGAAGGAAATGGTGATTTATCTTAAACAGGCTTGCATTTATATTTTATTAGCAGTATGAAGAAGAAGGGTAAACCTACTTAGTAGTAGGCAATATTAAAAGCCATTTTCCCACTTTTTGCATGTTTTGATTAACAGGATCATCTGAAGCACTCTTACACAGAAAGGTCCTGTTTTCTGTTGTTCTGATACTAAAGCAGGGGTACAGGATGGCCTGATGTGCACTTGTACTGTGTCAAGGGGCTGTGCTTTTTGGTTTTCTCTAAGTCACAAGACACAGAACTTATGCAGCTCTTCAGCTTATTTCTAGATGGAAAACATTACAGCTATTTCCACTAAACTTCTGGGGAGTGAAACAACGTAAGGAATGTAGTCAGAAGTACAAAAGTGACTTAGAGTTTTGTTTCTGTAAACAAGTACAGTTCACAATGCTGCCATTCAAATAATTCATATCTGAATGTGCCTTTCAGTTCTGCTTTCCATTTTCTCATTCCCATCACACGAATTTCTTCATTCTGTTTGACAGACATCCAGTGCGCCAACGCTTGGAATCTCACCTGCAAATTAATGCCGATGCCATCTGTGATGAGTTAACTGCTAATCTGATGAGATTGGAAAAGGTAACTTTGTATGAGATGATGCACATGCTAGTAGTACCATTAGGTTCTTCTTGAATTTCTACGGTCTGTTTTTTTGAAAGTGCCAAGGCACTCCCAGATTTCATGCTAGAAACTAGCATGTTTTACTAAGGGATGCACTGGTTTTTTGGGTTGTAAGTTAGCCAGCATATAAGCATTGGTCTATGTTGCTGTTTTGCCTTGAGCTGAGGCTTGACACCAAAAATACTACTAGACCAATCAGGCCAGGGGTGATTATTACATTTAATTATCTTGATTTTTTTAAATTCTGTCCATCAGAGTTAAGGATTCTAAAGTTAACAGGAAATTTCCTTAGCAGGAATTCCTTGTCTGGGGCCTTTGTTTGGGTTTTGGTTTTCTGATTAAGAAAAGCTGTGCTGGCATTCATATGGAGTCATCCTCTTCGTACAAAATGGCTGCAATCCATCTCTCTTCAGTAACACAAATGTTGCTGCTGCACCAGCTGTCTAAGTCACTGTACCTGAACTTTGCCTATACCTTTACTCTTCGCTATCCAATAATTGCAAGCCTACATGCATTTGCTGAAATAGAACATGAGTGGATGGGGAGAACTTATTTCCACTTTATGAACTGTGGTGAGTTTGCCTTGGCCTACTGTCAGACCTACCAGCTCAGCAGCTCTCTCACTCCTCCTTAGCTGTACAGGGGAAGAAAGTAGGATGAAAAGGACTGTGGATCAGAATAAACATAAAGAAATTGCTTACCAGTTACTATTACAAGCAAAACAGACCCAGCTTGGGGAAAATCAGTATATTTTCATTAGGTGATGAGAAACATAGAAAATTTTAGAACAACACCTTTTCTCACCTTTCTCACAGGCTCGTCTTCTCTCCCGACTTTTCCTTTCCTGCCACCAAGCTATTCTTGGGGTTCAGTGTAAGGATTATTGTCACTAAATATCAGTTTTCAATCTGCCACTCCTTCCTTTCATTTCTCTTCTGCTCCAGTTGCATTTTATTGTACACTGATGTGGGTTCCTCCAAAGGCAGAAGTACTTCAGGAAACATCCACCTGTTCCCACATGCATGGCCTCTCCATAGCCTCCATGGGACACCTTCACCCCTCTTTTCCTGTCTCCTCCTTGGCCTTGATGTTCCCTATGCAGTTTCTGTTTTCTCTCCTCTCTCTCTCTGATGTTTTTGCTTTGTATTCAGTGCACTTTCCCAGAGGTGCCACTGCCTTGGCTGCTGGGCTCTGCTGTGTCTGAGGTGGATCCATTGAAGCCTGCTGGAACAAGCTGTGCTTGGCACTGGGCAGCCCCAGCATCAGCTCACAGCCCACCCCACCACCCAATCTTTGACACCTCTACCTGCTACTAAGCAAATGGAACGGGTGTGTTTGGGAGATGTCAGAATCAACTGGCTAAGCATGATTAAAAAAAAAGGATTAGTAGAGTGAAAATAGAAGTTACTGAAATTCCTGTGTGCTTAAATCAGATTGGGTTTTTTGCCTGTTTCTGAAACTGGGTTTTTGCCAAGGTTATTCAGTGCCTTTTTTTTTCCCCATAAAGTAGGTTTCTCAATTAGCCTAAAGGTTGTGTAATATTACTGTTACCCATGTGGCACTGGATCAAGAGAGTGTCTTCCAAAAATATTCCCTCCATACACATCCACCGCTTGAAATCTAGAGTAATGCTGCCACTTGCCTCTGTATGCTATGGATGATAACATACCAGAGAAGAAATCTTACCAGATGATTACTAGTTACAATCTTTAGCCAAATTAGTCCATCTAAGAAGTTATTACCTTCCAGCTGTCTGGAACAAGCCTTCAAACAGCAAGATGGTTCATGGAAGACCTTGCTTTGTTTCAGTGGGAAGCCTGCAAAACAACAGGACTAGGCAGGCACAGTCTCTTTCATAGTCTCTGCCTGGGAATACAGCAAAAGGCAGCTGGATATTGGATCATTCAGCTGTTCCCAAGAAGTGACCCTTGGTCCTGAATTAGTCTTAAGTCATGTACTTCTCTAAGTTAGTGTCTACAGAATTGAATACTTGTCATTGCAAAACAGTCACGACTCTGTCAGCTGCTTCTCAAGTTAAATGAGTACTGCATGTAGCTGCCACAACCAGTAGTTAGAATGTTGTTTGACTACTGCAAAACTGGCAGAAATCTAGTCGGTTATGTACTCAAGTTACTGCAGTTGTTAAACTGCTTTGTATGTCTTAGTGAAAAGTACTAGATTGACTTCAGCTGGCTTCAAAAGCAAAACTAACACAGAAGTTTCAGTGCAAATTGTCGTCTCTTCCCTCCTTCTTGTGGGGCTGCAGCACTATAAACAACTTCACAGAAACTGTCTAGGTTAAAAATGAAAAATTACTCTTCAATTAGTAAATGTTTAGTGCAGAAGTATTCTGTCATGATTTTTCAAGTGACCTACTTCATACTTGGAGTCAAGAAATTCCCATGTCCTAGTGGAATTGTGCTTTGGCTTTTAAATATTTTTAACACGTTGTCAAAAGCACCATGTCTATTAAGACAAAGTGTTAAAAGTGACTGAAGGAAAACGCGGCCTGATTTTACTCATTTCTTTATTCTAACGTAGCTTGTTAAATGGAAATTCGTGTGTAAGGCTCTTACAAAACTGTTTTTCACTGTTCTTGAAAAAGACATCTGGGACAGCAGTTCAGTGAGGAAGGATTGAGAGGTGATGTCCCTGGGCAGGAATTATAGTATACAATAGTATAATCAATACATGGGCATAGGGACACATATCTGCTTGTGGTTGGAAGAGCTTATTTTACTGCATACATCAGAAGTCTCTGTAGTTGAAGCTGTTCTAAAACTATTTGAATTACTGAAACCTAGGAGCTCTGGGTTTTACGTCCAGAGCTTGTGTTTTGTTTTGAGATCAAAATTTTGGATTTATTGAAAATTTCTTTCTAGCTCTAGTTTTGTTCTCCTATCTCCTATCTGATGAAGAAGAGAACCCATGGGAGGTTGCAGGAGATACCTGTAAGTGATATCAGCTTGGTTTCAGTTGCTCAGCTAAGCATTCTGCTGCTGATCATATCTGGATGCTTCTTTGACTCTTGTCATTTAATATGAATACTCTCAATACAAATACCACTCATATAAATAGCTGTGACAGAATTAACAAGCACACAGAGAATATGTTGAAGAATGTATTGATTTTCTTAAAAATGTAGTATAACGCTTTCTGATTCCCAATCATTTTTGTCTCTTTTTCTAAGATACAGAATAACTTACAAAAACTGCTTGAAGATGGTGAATGAAATGTTTATGTTCTTGGACTGCTTCAGACTTCATTCATCTCGCTTGACAAACAGATCCAAAGGAGCTCTGCTGGACGGAGTTCAAGCTTCTTTATTTTCAGTCCAAGCCAAGGTTAAACTGCTGATGCTCATGTCACTACACAGGAAGTCATGTTATTGTTTAACAACTATGTTTGTCTGCATGTTTTGAAAATAAGGGTTTTATTTTTCCTTCATTATTGTGTGTGAAGTAATTAATGGATTTTACAGTTTTGATTTTAGCTTTCCTTGCACCAGTGCAAACCTGAAGCAACTCCTTTTATCTCAGCCTTCCTTTTCTGCCTCTTTTCATGTATTTGTAAGTAAGCATTTCAGACAGAATTCATATGCTGACATGTTGCGTGAATGAGCTGGTGTGTGTCTCACAGCCGTGGCTAAGGGCTGTGCTTTTCACTTTCTGTCTTATCATCCAAAGATTAAAACCAAACACCACTGGATTTGATTCTGTGGTGTGCTGAATGTTTGATGTGTGCTCAAGCTCTCAGGTGCTGTAAAAAATCTCAATTCCATATTCTGTGGCACTGGATCACTGCTGAGCATAAAGTCCATTTCTACTGGGGATTCATTTTACATCAAAGTCGAGCTTGAAATACGTGTGAACTTGCCAACTCACCATTCAGTTGCTTATGAATAGCATTATGGATATGACATGTCTGGAAAACCAACTGTTTTTTTTCTGTCTGCTCTATCTCTGTCCGTTAAGTTAATTCCTCAGTGTGAAGATCTCAGCTAGCTTTCGTTGCAGCTGCATAGAGCCTTGGTTGGCTAAGCAAGTACATTTCATATTCCAGTTTATATAAGTCTAGACCTGATATGGAACAGATATTTCCAAATAATAGAAACTGGCAAATCACCAAAATTATTTTTATTGCCACATTCTTAACTGAAAGAAAAGGTAGACATCTGCTTTGTTATATCACAATATTTTTTCGCCTTACCCAACAGGATAACTGTTTTGGATTTATTTTTGTTTGTTTGTTTCTGATTCACAGAGCAGACTGGTTCATCTGAAAAAGCAATATTTAGGATAATGACAACCTCTGTATGCAATATGACTGTTTATATATGCTCTGCATTTTATAACCATTTCTGTGAAATGCACCTTACTTTGTTTAAATAAACTTTTTTGAAACAAGCAACTCAGTACTATGATTTATGAGGAAGTTTTTCACTCAGAGGGTGGTGACACACTGGAACAGGTTGCCCAATGTGGTTGTGGATGCTCCATCCCTGGAGGCATTCAAGGCCAGGCTGGATGTGGCTCTGGACAGTATGGTGGTTGGCAACCCTGCACATAGCAGGGGGTTGAAATCAGATGAGCATTGTGGTCCTTTTCAACCCAGGCTATTCTGTGATTCTATGATTTGCATCTTCCTGCTTCCTTTCATCAGTTTTAATCAAACATTATACTCATCTGAATAGGCTTATTCTACACAGTGCAAAGGAACTGCATCCTGCCTGTGTGTTTCCACCTACTCAGTAATATTCAGAGTAGAAAGGCAAAACAATACAATCAAATTTCACCTTTTTTGCCTCTTGTAAAGAAACTTTAATAATTATCTTAGATGTTTTCCTCCTTGAGGGATAATGGATGAGTAACACTGAGGCAGCTGAGATCATTCGTGCTTTGAAATATGGCTGCTTAGCACAAGTTTCCATCTAACTGTGTTTGTTTAGAAATCTGTGAGATTGACTGTTCTCCCTATTACAATCCCTATCTTTCCTTTCTCAGCCAGCATAGGATTATTGGAAAACCTGTTTTTGCAAGAAAACTGTTGAAAAAACTATTTTTTCTATTCTTCCATCCTTCTTTTTCTCTACTCTCCTCTTCTTCCACAGTTCCACTGCTTATGCAGTTTTGCGCTCTTTCCTCATCTTTTCACTTTTCTATTTACTTACCTTTTCTGTCTGTTTCAATATAAAGGCTGTAGTTCTCTTTATGATGCTTAAAAATTGAGGTCACAAGTTGCTTTTGTCAAAGGAGCATCTGGGTAGCTTAATTATATCCATCAGCTATTCTGAATTAGCTTATTACTCCTTTAGATCGGCAAGGTGTGCTTTGCTATATAAAAACGTGAGAGAGAGTAATACATAAAGCAGACAGGCTAAGCCTGTAGGCAGGCTTATCACCAGCAATAAGCAAACAGAATAATTGTAGAGGTGAAAGAGTAATCCAGGGTAGAGGGTGTCCTTTAGCCCGTATGGCTGCACGCCAGGGGAGATGAGTCTGGACAAAGGTGTGCAGCAGTTTCTCATGGGGGGAAGAAGCAGCAGTTAGAGCTTTTGACTGTGGGTTACTTTAGCTCACCAGGTCTTCACTTTGCAACCTCACTCCTTATTTTCCTAGAGGAAGGATGAGGATGCCTCAAGGATTTCATGCTGGTCTGCAAAAAGGATGTACTGGTTGTGCAGAAATAAGCAGGAAAAATGAGCTCACTGGGGAAAGTCAGAAATCAATAAATGTTTAGCACAGATTGTTAATAGTGATAACAAATAGGCTAATTTAAAAAAGCATCCTTCCTTTTCATCTTCCTTTTCTACTTTCTTTTTTTTCTTGTTATTTCAATTATATGTGTCTGTTGTGCCTCACAACTTAGAGGCAGAAAAAATGAGGACTAGGCCCCAGTAGCTGTGAGGCATGTAGTTATAGGTAGTGCTATAGTAGGGCTCTGGCAAGCTGCTAGGAAACTGGAGATGTGTGGAAGGCAACAAGGGTGCATCAGTAATGTATTTCCTACTTGTAGTTGCTGAGCCGATTATTTTTTCCTATTAGTACCAGCCCAACCTGCTTCAGTTGTGAGTTCTTACTGTGAGGGGGGAAAAAAAAAACACTGCTTTCTTTCTCAGAAATGGCATTTGAAGAAAGTGCCAAAGCACTTCAGTGATTGTGGGTGGGAGTCCTAGACAAGAACTGACTTTTCCAGAGTTCATTCTGGCAATATCCAGCAAATAAAATCCTTACAGCATGGTTTTCTCCACTTCACACGTATGAACTTGGATCAAATAACTGAGGAATGGAATACATTATAGACACGGTCTTTTGGTATTTCCGAATTCATCTAAATGCAGACTACTGCCAAGAGGAAGAGTCTTTCCTTTATTCCCTCTGCCATACTCCCAGCTATTGTTCATTTTTCCACAGAAAGGAGTAGGAATGGGGAAATGAAGTAGCGTGAGTTTGGAGAGGCTGGGTGGTTGGGGATTGTAGAATTCACTTTCTGCCACGTTACTTGCCTGAACTGGCTAGGATTTAGGAATATCACAGGTATGCTACTACTCACGTGAAGTTTGCTCTCCAAGGAAAACAAATGTTGCCCTTCTTAGCGAAACACCAACAGTAGCAGCTTGACTAACATTTGCAAAGAATACAAATGATTTTGTGAGCGTGTGTTTGATTTTAATACCATCACTGCTTTCACCTGACTGTTTATGCAGTTATATAGTATTGCTCCCAGCTTCCTTTTATACCTGCTCTTTCATTTCCTGACTTTGAGCTAACAGTCAGCTGATTAAATAAACCTCTGGGTTGGTGCCTTACAGACCTTTTAAGGTGATGGCTCAGCTGATTCACCTGCAGCTGCCTGTCAGGTGCTATGCCCAAGGATCCGTGAGCTTTTGCCTTTACAGAGTAAGTGTGATGTGCAGTAAATACAATGAAAAAAGCTGGTTATTTATGCAGAACACTGAGCAAACAGTTTCTTTCATGCTCAGTATGTGTGTATGATTTTTGTAAACAGTAGTACAGTAGTAGAGGAATAATACTGTTTGAAAAGATTTTGGCAGGACCTTCTTTCAGTTTCCCTGGTGAGGCTGTCAGAGCCTGACATGCAGATTTGCTCAAGGAGAAAAATGGACTAATCTTTTTTGACAAATCCCAATTTATGCTGGTTTTTTTGCTGTCTTAAGTTATAAATTTGATATGATCCCATTTTATAATTATAACGTTTCACAATAGCCTATGGCTAAGTGAACAACCACAACAAAGAATATGCCAGTAAATTTCATTTGGATGTCTTTTAGATTAGTCTGTTTATCAGTGGCATTGTTGGATTTTGACTAAAAATCAAATGCATAAAATAAAGCAATGTACAGTATGTGCACTAACTCAGTAGCACTTAGCAGGCTTTTAATCCCCGAGCTTCACAAAGTATAATTTTGCTAATATGCCTATCATGATAACTATTCCCACCCAAAATATAGACCTTTCAGGGATACATACTTCGTTGCTATTTTGACCTTCTGCTTTTGTTGACCCTCAAGTTTCTATTTAGAAGAATGGAATCATGCAATTGTTTAGGTTGGAAAGACCCTTAAGATTGATGGAATTCAAGGCAGCTGTATGTTAGCAAAGCCTTCCCTGAACTAAATTGTCTGATACAAATAGTAGAATAACATTTCAGATATCTGCTATTAAGGTGACATGTGCTTTGCAAAAACCACTTTAAATATTGTGCCACAACGTTCAGACTTCTTTTCCAAAAAAGTTCTCTGCCCTGGAAGGGAAGCCAAAAACTTTTGCAACAGGGTAACTGTTCCCAAAGGAGTAACCAGAGGTTGGCTGGCTTATTGATTGCAGATAAAATATAGTTGGAAAGAACTAGCTTCTTGAAGAATGCCTTAGAAATCATTGCCCTCCAAATACATTGCATGTTCATTATGCTTGCTGGCTGCCAGCCTCTGAACACTGTGTAAACAGGTTTTTTTTTCCCCATTATTTTCCTTTTATCCTTTGTGTACAGAGTATGTGCCAATGTATTTTTGTTATGTGTGTAACATGCTTGCCTTGCCAGTTTCTGTACTGACTTCATTTGGCTGGTGCTTAAAAGTATGTTATGTTCTTATAGTTGAAAGATATATTTTTCCATGATTATTTAACAAACAACAAGCTCATGCATGATGATATACAAAGAGCACCCTGTTCTGAAAGTTGATATATTGAGCTTAGTAAGAAGGATTTGTTAGTCTTCAGCACAATATAAGAAAAGCCTCTGTTAATTGCTTACTTAATGATATTGCGAAGGTAATTTTCCACTGAGCAGGCATTTTAGCAGTAATGAGCAAGAGATTAAAGGAAAATCACTCATATGTGCTCTCAAGTACAAAATTAAAAGCCAACTCTTCACACTATCTACACATAAATAAGGAAGAAGTCCTTCCAAGAAGAAAAGGTAATGAGTAACTCAGTTATCCCCCTACATTCCGGACCTGCCATACAGGGCAATACATAGCTCTGAATCTTCCTAGGGCTTTCAGCTTGCTAGTGTGGCAATGTGCACACATGGCTGCATGCTGCTGAAGAAGCAAGGTGAGAAAAAAGTCAGCCTGTACTATTCCTACTATGTACCTAGTGAACCATGAACCCTCTCTCTCAGATTAAACATGTAAATAATAATTGCTTTGTGATATTGGTTTATGATACTAGCATGAAGATAAGTCCTTATTTGCTTCCCATAAAATAATTCTAAGTGATACAACTAACATGCAAGAAAAAAAATCGATGTGAGCTGACTTGGAGATAGACAGTCTTTCAGGTTAATGATAATTACAATTTGCTCATCTGAAAAATTCTTGATTGTGGAAAACGCATCTTCCACAATCCATCTTTTCAATGTCCCCTAGCACATTTCTGCTTCTGAAATCTCTCTTTGGCCATCACATTAGCTCCATTCATGAAACCAGTTCACGGTTTGAAGTCTAATTAATGAAACCAAAGCTGTTGTATTTGGGTTAGAAGTAAAGAAACTAGAGTGTTCAGAGCTAGCTATTGAGAACTCGCTTGGTTATTGCCTCCTCTATTTCCCTTTTCCTTCCTGAGCTGCCTGGTATTTTTGATGGTTTGCACTTGGGCTGGAGGAATCCCAGGCATCTATACAGACTGAAGGGAGCAGTCCTTGAGAACAGTCCTGCAGAGAAAGATCTGGGAGTCCTGATAGGTGAAAAACTTAACATGAGCCAGCAGTGTGCTTCTGCAGCTCGGAAAGCAAATGGTATCCTAGGCTCCATCAGAAGATGGGTGGCCAGCAGGGACAGAGAGGTGATTGTCCCTCTCTACTCTGCTCTTGTGAGGCTCCATCTGGAGTACTGTGTCCAGGTCTGGAACCCCCAGAACAAGAAAGACAGGGAGCTGTTGGAGAGGGTC